AAAAATATATGATATCCCATATAATTTGACTATATTGGATTTGCTATAATAATAATATTCTTATTATAATATTTATTTATAAATTGAATCTCATTAATCGAAATATTATAACCTCTCTATCTTGATTTAATTATTCTCAATCTTATTTCCTATAGTAGCATATTTATTTTGCCAGAAAATAAAAATGAATATAAAAAATAATTATCCCAGGAGAACTAACTATATTTCAATACTTATTATGAGAGCTATCATTTTTATGGAATTCTTATGATAAAGATTTATTATATAAATGATTCTTGATATTGATATAATATAAATTCTTATAAATTCCTTGACGAATTGAGAATTAAAATCATAATCTTCCGTCCCAAGTACCGACCAATATCTCCAATGCGGATAGGATCCCCAACAATTACCGAGAGATCTTTATATAAAATTAATAAAGGTGCGCTCGATCTCATAGATTATTCTATGCCAGATAGATAGAAATAGATCAATACTCCATATTGTCGTGGGGCCCTTCCCTCCTCTATTATAAATCCTTGTCGTGCGTGCTTTATTTCAAATCCTTATCGTGAGGGATTGCTGAGGATACCTCTAATTCTCTATGAATAGATTTAGATATAATATTATTTATAAAATTAGAAATTAAGATAAATACAGATTGCTGGGCATTCGAGATGATTCATAAATCTCTGCAGAAATCGACGATTTCTACGATCGTTGCTTATATAAAGATTCAGCTTTTGGGCCCGGCTGGGTTGTGCTTGGTTGTAGTTCAACTTTAGTATTGGAATTTTTTTTGCTTGGGATCCTGGCTGGGTTGTATTGGATTATACTTCAGCATCAGAACTGGAAGTGCCTCGCTCATTTCAGATTGTCGCCAGATTATGCTTGATTGCAGTTCATCATTACTACTGGAAATATTTTATTTAGGATACAAGCTGAATTGTTCTGGATTACAGTTCATCAGATTAGTATTGGAGTGCCTCGCTTCGGATGCAGGCTGGATTGTGCTGGATGGTAATATAATATTAGTACTGGAAGTCTCTTATTTCGGATTGTCGCTGGACTGGGCTTGATTGTAGAACTGGAAGTGCCAGATAGGCTCGTGGCCTGAAAACGGGACTCTCGGCTCCCCTTTCTGAAATTCCTCCAAGTTGTACTTTTGGGCAAGCCTGCCATAGTAGATTGGTCCAAAAATCCTCCCATGGTCTCCTCAAAGAAAAGTCGTGGGGAAATCATTTCGCCGTCTTCTTACCTAGAACCGAGATTTTTGAGTGACCAAGGGTAATTGGGTACGCGGGCAGGGACAGCTCCGAATTTGAATAATTTTGAAGCATAATTCTGAACCAGTTCCTAGCTTTTAATATTAGAAATGCCTGGTTTGGGATTATCGCTAGATTATACTTGATAATAATTCAATATTAATATTAGAAGTACTTCATTTCGGATGCGTAGAAGTGCCTCGTAGATATTGGCTAGATGATAACTAGAAGTACTCGTGTGGGATACAAGCTAGTTTGAATTTGGTAATAACTCAAATTTAATATTGGAAATAGCTCGTTTAAAACCTAATTAGATTGTCCTGACTTTCAACACAATATTAGTATAGAAATGCCTCGCTCATTTCGGATTCTCGTTAGATTATGCATAATTATAATACGACATTACTAATTGAAATGCCTCCAGATATACCCTATTTTACATTATCATGAAATTCAATTTTATTATAGAACTAGAAGTACCAGACATATACATACCCTAAAAACGGACTCCGACTATATATCATTAATATTAGAAATACTTTATTTCGAATATAAACTAAATTATATTAACTTAATTTCGATTATAAATGAAATTATATTAAATAATAATTTAATATTAATACTAGAAATGCCGCCTCATTTCGGATATTAGCGAGAATCTACTAGATAATAATATAATTTTTAAATGCATTACTTCGGAAATTAGATAAATTATACGAGATAAATATACAAATATTAAAATTAGAAATTCATAATTTTGGATACAACCAATATAATTCTAATTCACATCACCCCAACTACTATTACTACACATATTTCGATTATTTTTTATACTAATTAAAGTACCACAAATTATTATTATTCTATTAATACTACTACTATCGCGATCTATAATTACGACTCTTCTACTACTTAACCTTTAACCCCTTATTCGACATAGACCTTAAAAAACAAGACTAATTCCGAATAATTTTAAACCAATATAATATTTAATATAATAATAATAAATATAAAAAAAAATATATTACGCATTTTATTCATAAATTAATTAATAGATAATCGATTTTATCGCAAATCCCTCATTTTTATTTCCATCCTTTATCGTACGAAAGACGCCCCGGTCCTATTATAATTCCGAAAGTTTTACCCCACGCCCACATTTACGAATATAACAAATAATTACTCACTAACGATATTAACTCAGAAATCAAAATATATTGTCATACTACTTATTCATACCTAAAAATTAGAAATCAAGAATTTACTCAAAAATCGATACTCACACCCAAAATATACATCAAGAAAATTACCAACTCCTAATTTTAATTCGAAGATTCATATATATTAATGATACAATATTGTTCAACTATTATTATTCTTATATAATTTATTTTCTAAATAATATCAATATTTCAGAGACCTCAACACAACGTAAAATTTATATCATTAAATAAAATATTATATCAAACCCTCCAATTATGAAACAAATAAACTAAATTTCAATATAAATATACAGAAAATTAATATATCAGATAAAATTCAACTTTAAAAAATTATCCATATAGATAAAAATCAAATATATATGCCAATAAATCCAAATTCAAACGCAAAAATAGAAATAAATATAAATAAAAACAAACAGAGATAGACACAAGCAAAGACAAATTTAGACAGAGAACAGCTCAGAGAGACCCATAAAGTAAGTCCATAGAGACGCATAGAAAGACGTAGAGATACGCGCACGCCCAGACAAATGCACGTATTCTCACTCAGAGATACACTTATTCTCCCTCAGAGATACACCTACTCCCACAGACACGCAAAGAGACACGCAGAGACACCTACATTCAGACGCGAATTTTCATTTCCGCAAACCTTTCCTCAAAATCCTAGAAATTTCATGAATCAGAACGTGCCTACCAAAATGTTAAAAACTGTATTACCGCATGTCTCCCTCAAATTACTAAACTTTCTAAAATTTCACTACCGGGGGCAGAAGTGCTCGAGGTGCAACTTTGTAAGGGACCAGGGACTCATAGAATGACAAAATTAAACCTAAAAATACTGTCCATATACTTAGATTATCGAAATTTACTAACTTAAATCTAATTGTTATTGTATTTGACTATATAATTAAGGACACAAAAAATCTAATGCTAAGCTATTGAATTCTTCGAAATGATTTAGAAGAATTAATAATCATAATGATATTGATTAAGTCATGCCGGCTACGTACTTGCAATGAATCTCCTTGCTTCCGAGCTTCTACTCATGCCTAATGCTCGAACGATTCGAAAAATAATCATAGCTTTGGATGCGGCGGTGCTTACGGACCCGCTTTGCGGAATGTGTGCCGTGAAACACCCCGGCTGCTGGTGTTGAATGCAAAGTAAGTAGGATTTCTGGAATCTGGTCTTTCAACATTCGCAGCTGGCTTTCAGCACCTCTCGATTCTCGATGGCTGAACTGTACACGGAAACATGCAATGATCATCTGCTTCCCTCTTCCAAGAGCCGAGATGACAAGCAATTACATGTACCTCTGCCGCGCTGCGTCAAACTGCCAGATGGGCGGCCCATCCTGATGTTCCGTGTAATGATTCTCTGTTTCTGTGACTCACTCGCAATTTCGCGCAAATGCTTGCGAACGAAATCTATGCTCAGAGTAAAGCGAGACAGGCCTCCACCCCTGATCCATTCCTGCTTGGTTCTTCTGCTTATTGTTGCTAGTCGTTTACTGCTCGCCTTACGTTAATGCTGCTTGTCCTACATCATGTAAACTCATGTAAATTTCACACTAAAAATCGCAGAAGGTTGCTTGAGCGTTCAGACTCAGTCTCACTCTCAGTCGTTCTCACTCTTCCGTTTGCTCTTGCTACTACTACTACTACTACTACTACTACTACTGCTACTCCAACTACTACAACGACGACAACCACGAGGACGCCTCTATCACTACTGCTACTGCTGCCACTACTACGACTGCGACCACGACGACGACTGCTACTTCTACTACTATTTCTGCCACCACTCTTACTCATCCTCCTGCAGCTGTTGTGACTAGTGTTCGTGCCCTTTCCCTATTGACTGTGAGTATGGCCGCTGCTGTCGTGGTCAGGGTACTGGTACTTTGATGACGGCGCTGCCTTCCTCCTGACCTCTGAGGCACCGACAGTGGCCAGGCTGACGCCTGGGTTGAAATTCAGAGCTGCACTTACTTAAACCTTCAGCATGTGCTCTTGTTTACGAAAAGCAGTGGAGCGTAGTAGAAAGGCCCGCGACATCAACAACGACAAAAAAGCATCCACCACCCTTTGGCCAAAGGATGACAGATGAACTGCCTCACCCAATGCTTTGATTAGTTTGGTATCATGCCCGAGCTTTTTCAATGAACCTTTGCCGAGCTTGCTGCCGGATGCCATATCCCTTCAGGATATCCTGGTGAGGCTCATGCAAAGCAACAGGGCTCGCGCCGCTTTACGTGGTCCATGGATAGCGTTTTGCGGCACCACGCACCTTTCTTGATTCGTCTTGTACAGTGGAAACTCAGCTGGTCCAAGGAACTTCAACCCTCCTGAATGGGGCAGTCCTCCGGAGTCCAAGCGGGTGCATCCTCAGTGCAGAATAGGATTCGTCGATCATGCCACCACACGGCTACCAGCTATCAGTCGCAGTCAGGCTTGCACAAAGCATGATCAGAGGTGCTTAGATCAGTCAGCACCTTGAGCTCGCGGCCTCGAATGAGAAAGTTGGATGATACTTCACGTAGTGCTGCTTCCCAGGCCACCACAAGGCCTTGACCTGCATGGACTTGCTGACTCATGTACTTTCACTCAGATCTCTACAATCAATCCTCAAGCTACTGCTCAACGAGTGAGCGGCACCTTCTCTGGCTTGAAAGATATTTTGGGCACCTGGCAGTTCGTTTGTTTTGTGACAAAACTCTGCTGGTCAGCGGCACCATCTGTCGAGGATGACCGAGGTTGAGACAGTCCCATCCGTAGTCGGCTTCACCCGTGCGGTGACGAGGTCTTTCTCGACCAACTGAGAACCCAGCAGCAGCTAACACGCACTTGCGAAGCATTGCTGCAGGGTCTTGCGCCCTGTGCCGAATCCTTCTTTGGCACTCTAGGTGCCAGGCCGGGAAATGGGCTGCCGCTTTGAACTCGTCCGGGACCAGCGCGGACTGGGCAGTGTAAATGCACGTGGATATTTTTGGATGTAGCTAGTGGTGATGGATCCGCTGGCAGATCCCGTGAACGTGATGACGGGATGCCGTACGAAGGGAGAGCTGGATCAGAAATCTTCGATTGCGATTCTCAGAATCTCCACTTCAAAGCTTCCGCATGTTCTCACCACAGGCTTAAGCCACGATGTGGGAAGTAACGGCTACGCATGAAGCTCAAAGCAGCTCTCGCTAGCGAAGAGCACCGAAAAGTAAGTTGCGAAGTTCTGAATAGGACTGGGCATGATGTAAACACGAAAGTTGCCCGACGCAAAGCCTCTGAGGCGGACTTTCTCATCTCCCTGGCATCGCAGGCAACTTTTGCAACTTTTCTACGAGTACGAAATGCTAAGGTCGCTGCTCATGCATTTGACATGTCCTTTCTCTTGACAGAAACTTGTTGCAGTCGGAACTCTTTAGCATAGCATACGGCAATGCCACAGCATTCTGCAGGGCAAGACAAGTTGACCCAGGTCCGACAACATGCCCAGTCAACGAAGCAGCGCACTGAGAGCCGCTGCCGATGCTAGAGCTGCCTGGCGAAAAGGCTTGCTGCTTAGTTGAATTCAACTGGTAGATACCAAGTTCACCGAATGAAGAGAGGCAGGCAAGCTCCAACTTCTACACTTGCACCATGAGCACAGCAAGCACGCTTGCAGATTGCTCCGCCAGTCTCAAACCCATGCCCAAGAATCCTGAACCCCAAAACAGGTTCGCCTGCCTGCAAAAGATAGCCGGCTCGATGCTTCTGAGCATCTGCTGGAGCTCGACCTCCAATCTCAACTAGTTGCTGCATCTAGAAGTGTATAATCAGTATCTTTCGGGTTAAGGGTTTGCTAACCATTGTAAGGGTTTGCAGCTTTAGGGTTTGAGTCTCACCCTGGTTTTGGGCTTTAGGTTGGGAATCCAGCATCTCATCGTGTGGTTTTGCCTAGGCCACCAATGATCTCCCATTAAATAAATGGGTTCTGTTTCGGGTTTTGGGGAACCAGGGCCTAGGGTTTGCATAGCACCCCTTCAAGTTTCGAGTTTGTCATGATTTTTCCGGCTTAACGTCGCTGCCCACCATCTCCTCTTACGACCCAGGGCTCGCCACCCATCACCCCATGGTTTCTGCCAACCAGTCAGCCTTTGAGGGCTCGGCGTTTGCCAGCCATCATCTTACTTAGCCTTTGGGGCTTGCCGCTCCTCATCCCCACTGAGGGTTCGGGCCTGTGGGACTTTTGGGCTGGCGATTTGCTACGCGTAGCATCCTCGCTTGAAGTTGCAGGTCTAGGTACCAAGAACCAAGAACCAAGATGCCCAGGACTCTTGAATCCAAAATCTCCTGCATAGGTTGCGGGAGTTGTGAGCTAGTCAAGTTTTAGGGCTTGCCACCTATCACCCGCTTGTATCTTCGGGATTTTGGCTGGGTTTTGCCGGCGGCATTTGTTTCAGGATTCAGGTCTTGCCGGCCGTCACTTCTTGCTTGGGATTTGATGATGATGATGATGATGACGATGGTATTGGTTCCATCACCCACTCGGCTCTGGGGCTTTTAATGCCAAACGCGCCTGCTAGGGCTTTGCCCATCATCGTGTTTCAACTTTGGTGGCATCTGGTCGGTTTACCATCCACCATCTCTTGTCAGAGTTTGAACCGATTACCTCTTCCAGGGTGCCAGTGTGCTTCAGAACCACTCACCCAATGTAGAGCTTCAAGAGCTTCGGGGTTACCACAAGGGCTAGGGTCTCAGTCACCGCATTTTGGGCTCAAGGGTTCCGCGCTCGTCATTCCTTCAAAGGTTCTAAGCTTTTGGTCCAAAATCTGTTCGCATTTGGGCGCGCGATGGTTTTGCCACCCATCATGGTTTCGGGTTAACACCACGATCATTCCCTTTCGGGTTTTCGAGACCCAATAAAACCACTTGGGGTCGGGTGGTTTGCCACCTGCGCCTCTGCGGTTTCGGCATTGTCTCCATCGGGGTGAGCCAGTCACCATGTCTCGGGCTTGGCGTGTGGCGCCGAGCCTTTGGGTTGAAGTCCAACATTGGTAACTGGGGTTTGAGCGTCTTGGGAACAGTTCACCGGCTTTAGAAGTTCACGCTTCGCGAACCGCACAGTCCGTCATCTCCTTTCACGGTTCGGGATTTCTCGAAACAGCTTGCTACACATCTTCACTTCTTAGCCGAACCCTCTATGTAAAGGTTGCGAGGTTTGGGGACCTAGTCAGTCCTTGTTGGGTTTGGGTTTGCCACACATCATCTCCCTTCCAGGCTTCGGGCTTCGGGTTTAGGGTATTCAGGAACCAAGCACCACTCTCAAAGTTGAGGAGTCTCCACATCACTAACTCATCGCAGGGTTTCAACCGTCACGCATTCCTGGGTTTTAGGGAGTTTGGGAACCAAGCCCAGAGTCTTGGAGTCCGACCAAGTTCGTCTTGATACTCACTGTGGGATCTACAGTCACAGTCGATGCAGACGGCTTCCTGTGTTAATTAGGCCGAAACGCAGGTTCCCTTTGTGTGTTTTCCTTCTAGAGTCGGGTCTCCTATCAGTAATATTTTCAGAAACTCTCGAAGATGATCGGTCCCTGTGTCGGCTTGTACTTGGTCTGTGCAAAACATAGTCAACACGTCAATGGATATAAGTGCCTGAGTAATCCGCAACAGTGTCCCCTTGGATTCCCGTCTTCCGCTAACACGTCGGACTCTTTGCTGGCAGGTACATTCCGGCTGACGAAAGCATCAAGCAAACGGAACTACTTAGACACAGTAGGCATCACAGGAAATTGTTAGCATTCCGTTTTCAACAAACCACATCCCCAATAGACAAATGGACCATAATCGACCTGTGCCGATGTCGTCGGCGAGCTCGCCTCCCGTCCTGGTGGCTCAGTCCCACCGCCACAGATTGAACGGGATTCAAAAGTGACATGACCGGACTTCTCCTCATCGGCCGCTCGCTCCATCTTCGCCTGCGCATCATGAGAGACTGCGACATGCCACGGAACAACACATGTCGCTCTGCAGCCTGCAACCTGCAAGGTTAGCCGGTGAGCGGCCTTCATCTGCGCTCCATCCATGAAGCTCCGCTCCTGGAAGCAGTCTCATAAAGTTTGCAGGCCAGACTCCTTGCAATTGCACGGGCTACTGGCAGCTAGCAGTAGCTGTCATAATTTATCACTTGTCGCTATGAGCTCGGAAGGCCATCGATGCAACTTTCAAGAAGCCTTAGTAAATGCTTCGACACATCGAAGAATTCACTTGCGGAAAAGACATCGAAGTCATGAGTGGATGCCACATGAAGGCGGCTCAGGACGGCGACAGAGCAGAGCTTTTATTTGCTCTTACTCAGACACTTACTGGTCACTGCCTGCAAAAGATCTTTCGGCTCATCTTTCATTGAGGTGGTGTGTCAGCTGAACAGGAATCAGGCACACAAGTGTATAGGTCTCACATGCAACAGTGCTGGCTGCTCTGTTCCCAAAGGCAATTTCACGTCCCCACCGGGCCGACCTCTTTCTCGATTCGCTGGGCCCATTGGATGTTGAAGCCTCTGGAAGCCATGGGAACGGGTTTCATGCAGCTGCGAAGCATAGAACACGCACCGGACAGCAAATCTGCATGTAAGACTGTAAGCGAACACACATTATGTTAAGGTGATCAAACACATGCACTCCTTTTCAATGGTCGCAATGCACACTCCGCCAGGCGGCAGGGAATCCTGCAGCTGGCTCATCCCCCTATCGAGGCCAACAGCAAGCCACATGGGGCTACACCGGGCACAAGCCACTACCAACACAGCCCACTCCAGGGGCAATCGCGAAGCACAGCCCATTCCAGGGGCCACATAGAGACACTGTTGTAGGAAGGGGTGGGAGGGCGGGAAATTTTGTGTGCAGCAAGAGGTGCAAGCAGCGGCTGCACACAAGCTCGCTTAACACTCGTGTGTTCGCTGCATGCGCTTGGAGAGTGGCATGTGCGCGCAAGCATCCCGCTACATGTGGTTGCTGTATGCTACTGCAAAGCATGGCACTCACAACTTGGCAAGACAACCCGACGCGCACTCAACTTGCTTCAACGGCGGGTCGCGTATGGTCGGGCAGCACAAAGCTTTGGGAGGAGAATCGCGTGCTGTGCTATGGAACACATCCGGGCCCTCGGCCCATATCCCACGCCATGGCAGCAAAGCGTGGAAGGGGCTTATCGGCAGTTCAATGTCAAGGCCCTTCTCAGTCCCCCTACCAGAGCCACATGCCGCCTTCAGCTGGCTGCTGCAAAGATCGCCTCTGCCAGTCAACCAGGGGTCTTAGACTCATCCTTTACGGCGAATGATTCGCTTGCTCGTCTACATGCAGGCTCCTATTTTTGGCTCCAAGCAAAATCGATCGTGCCACGCACTTCGCCGCTCAGAGGTCAGTTCGAAAGCCTGACGCGACCGTCTGCCTGCAACTGACGGAGGTGGCCACGGTCAGCGCGGATCAGAATGGATATGCATGCGCAAACGAACGGCGAACTGTGAACAAACATTCCTGTGAGTCACCGACTCACTACTAGATTCCCGAGCCTTTGTTGCCAGACCAACAGCCTGCCGAGTCGAGCGCTTTAAAGATGTGATTCCAGACACACCCCAGCCGTCTTCTCTGCGATTAACTTGCAGACAGTTCTTCTCAAGATCATCAACAGACGATCAACATTGCCTGTTCTCTCCGGCAACCGCAAAGACGGCGTAATTCATGGGATCCTCACGCGACATTCTTGAGTCATGCTGCTGTGCTGCAGGTCTGATTAATTAGCTCGATAGACACAGTGATCCACGGATACTTCACCGCATCAATGAATCAATAGCAGCATGCGTCATTTTTTTGTCAAGCGCAATGTTCGGGTCCAAAGCAAGACGGACTCGACTAGCAAGCTGCAAGTTGCCGACACCTGGCAAGAATCCGACCAAAAGATTGGCTTTGTTCATCCTCACACTGAGTCATGCAAGCACAGTTGTTGCGAGCATCTACCCCTAACCACTAAAGGTTTGTTGATCCTGGCTCATACCATTAACTACAAGATTGGAACGGCCCGGAGGTGTTCGCTACTGTGGTAGGACTGCAACCGAAAGCCCTTAACCCGGAGAAGAGAAGATGAAGGCTTAAGGTTAGAAATGGTTAGAATTTTCAGCATGTGCGGGGCCGCCGGGGATGCACTTTGCACGAACCTTGCGAAGCACTTGACAGTACTTCGCCGAAACATGTTCAGGGGTGCACAACCAATTGGCACATTGGCATGTCGCCCTTAGACGCCTTGGGTGAGACCACGAAAAGACCGAAAGGATGAATGGAAACATTACTTGCTTAGCTGGGCCTTTAAGGGAAATACCGTGTGAGACCTAGTGCAACCTAGTGCCACTTAGGTTTGGCTGAAGACCATGCTTTCGAGACTGGTGAGCCAGCGCAGGCTGTAACAAAGGTTGAAGCTTCAAAATCGAGCGTGCTCCCACCACCTGCCTAGGTAGGCGGCCTCGATCTGCTGCGAGCATCTCAACCTCGTGAGGGCTGATCGGCGCGGTGTATTCCGTGTACATCGGGAGCCCTTGCTGTGATCAATACTTCATGATACTGACCCTGTGCACTGATTCACGTCGAGCTGCCGCCCATGACTCCATGACTGTCAAATGGCAGCTGAAACCCTGAAACGGAAAGGACACTGCGAGGATGTGTAATTCCCAGGCCTGGGCGTGCAGTCCCAAATGCGGCAAAGCCCGCGCATGTCGGCTGTGATAAGCGGGCCATTGTCGCAGGGGCCGTAGGCCATGGTCCTCGGACCAGTCACCAGAATGAAGTCTGCTTTGCACGAAGGTTCTTTCGATTCAATCGTGTGCAGTCAACAGGGCAGCTGTAGCTCGTTCGTGATCGCCGCAGATTGCACTGAGCTCCGGTCACGATTGGCAAGTCCTTTGTCGGCAATTTCCGTAAGAGCTGCCATCAAGAGTCAACACTGTGCACAACCGGCTACAAGGAAGCTGCCGCAGTCTTCCCAGTACTTTTCAGAATGCTGTGGCATTGCTTCGAAACGCACAGCGACAGGTTCTGCAGCTTGGCACGAGTTCCTCTAAGCTTCCGGCATGTGCAATGATGGCACTCCTGGGTGCGTCACACAAAAGAGACAAGTTTCGTCGCACGTCCGCATGCGGAGGTGCAGGAATGCAAACACGCATGCACAAGCTGTCACACACACACACACATACAAACGCAGAGCTCGAGCTCCTGAATTGGATTAACTGATCATTTCACGGACAGTGTTAGCGCCTCGTACTAGCACATATGTTTCTACCTGTTCTGTCGGTTCTGCTGAAGACGTCTCCTGGGAGCGAGGTTTGTAAACCAATGCTTAAGGTGGTCAGTTGCAAGCAAGTCACTGGCATACTGGCGCCGGATTGAGGCTCCACTCCTCCAAGGGAACATGGAAGGCAAAATGGCCCCATGACACGCTCAAGACCACCACTTTACCAACCTGGCACTTTGCGGGCAGGTCCCAGACCTACTCGAGGTTCATAAGGATTCCGGTGGACCATGCTGAATGCTTTGAGCTAACCCACACAATTCTTGAATCACTTGGCTCTCCTTGGGTGTCATTAGCATGTGATGCGCACATGTCTCGGCAGTCCATCAAGATGCCAGCATTCTCTGCAGCCTTGGTAAGGCTACGTGTGCATTGAAACCATGCAGCGATAAGGCTCCGAGGCTCCAATCAGAGGTGACAAGGTGATGATAAATTACATACATGGATGTGTCAGAGTTGTTGTCTGGGATACAAGCAACATTACTGCAAGGACTGCGAAGATTTCGACAGGTACCCTCTTGATTGCAGAGGTCCATATAGTTCCCAGTCGCGGTCATGCGAAGGCAGTACTGCGCAGAGTATGAGAAAGGTAGGCCTAACTGATTGGGGGCTGTAGGGACCGACCTGTTTTTTCTCTCCCGGACAAAGGATATTGGACGGCCTGTCTTATCAAGACCTCATCAGAACTCTCACGACACGTGTACCAGTGTACCGGTTTCGAAGGGGAGGCCGGGCAAAGGCTGCTTAGAAGCGAAGGGTGAAAATGAAAGCCCTGCGTGTTGAAGGCTTTTCCTCCAACCTACACTCCCCTCCACGATCGACCAAGTCTGCTGCTCAGCCCTTTCTACACAAGAGTTGTTCGGGCCCCATACCTATCCCCGCATACCCTCAACAAGGTGAAATCGGCTTTCTGCAGGTGCCCTCGAGTGCTCGTGTTCAACTACGTAAGTATGCACTGAATTGCTACTCAGCTCTCCCTGTAAGGAAGCAGCTGCTGATTGGCCCGGCGCCATGACTCCAGCCACCTGGGACCGAAGCGGTCGCAGGGCAGGCGGTTCAGGTACAATATCGAGGATGTGGCAATGCTGTACCACTCGCCACTCGCACCGCATAAGTTGCAAGGACATGCTGGCGCGCATCCACTCCGAGCTCCCGGACAAATAGTGCCCCACGCGGCACTGTCTGGGCATTGCTGCGTGCTGAAGCCTCACGAATATCCGGCATGCATACTCCCGACATGATCGCTGGCATGAGAACCCGCTCTGTCGACGCGGAAGCTTCCGCAGCTCCTGCGCGCCAGCCCATCTTGACAGAGGGCGCTTCAATGCTGTCAGCGCAGACAGCTGAAGGCACCTTAAGTGCATGTGTACGCGGGCTCCAACGGTTGCAACTTTTCTCAAAAGCTGTGCAAAGCTCGGAGTGATCTAGGTTTGGAACTCTGTGTATCTCGCAGGGTATGTCTACCCCACCAGACAGAAAGGCACGAGGTCCATCTGAAGGCAGCACGTTGGGTCGTGATTCCGGCTGGCTCCTCGCGGACTTTCACGAGGAGTCTCCTTCAATGAAGAGCTGAACCGTGTATTAGCTATATAGTAGCAAAGGAAGTTCTCACATTCAGAGTAAAGAGGGACTGGCTAGTGTCACCGCGAGGCGCCCGCTGTGGCACGCAGTGCACATTTTCGACTCAAGCAGCACTGTTTCTGCAGTCGCTCCGGGCCCCGTCCTCCAACAAATCCACTTAGCGTAAACAGGTGTAAAAGAAACCATACCGCAGGCGTGTCGGTGCTTTTTTGGGGCTGAGATCGTGCTCTCGCCACATCCTGCCACGGTCCTGTGCTCATGTTTACTGTGAAACCGCTCGAAGTCCTTACGTAACGTCCCGGCAGGGCCGCACGGAGCCTCTTGGTGTAGTCTCGCAGTTTCGCCAGTCTACTGGGTTTCGCAATTTCGCGAACATCGAAGACTGTGCTCCTGCCACCAGCGGTCTGCATCTTGTTATGTGTTTGTTCGCCGAACGAAAGTTTGCTCCGCCACAGCGCGGTGTACTGTGACATTGTTGCTTATTCTTTTTCAGAACGTCGTCGCCCACTGATCCTTCAAGCGTGTTGCCATCACAAGATCCGGATGACATCGTCAAGGCTCAACCGTCCTTCAAGGCAGGCAGCATCAAAGGGATGGCCTGCCCTTCTTGGCCAGTCAGTGCGGAAGCCTCACGAAGCGCGCATGTAGCACGGTATCTTCACGCAAGCTTCTCCCATTCAGCCCTTCTTTCCGAGTCCTAGTCATCCTAGTCACCCCTCCAATATCAACTGAATCAACCGTGTCTGACACTGGTCGGCAAGACCTCGCTTGACACTTGCAAAGGGCGGCGTGCAGTTGATCAGCCTCCTTATCCTGCTTGAACACAAAGCGCGGCCTGAATACGGTCTGCAGGAATAAGGACCACCTGCTTCAAGTCGGAAAGGCTCCAAATCCGGATGTTCAAATCCTCGCCAGCACCAAGAAACTCTGTCGAGGGTTGCTCCGGGTGCTCTAGGGTCTTCGGATGTTTCTATGTATGTACACATCAACAAACTGCATCAAGCGATTCCACTCGTTATCTGTGCATATCTGTGCATATGTATATATGCATATATCCTATATCTATATAGGTATACTATGGTATACATATGCTTATTTGGCTTTGTGAGGCAGAATGCGGCTTCACCTCTTACGATTTTTGGCTGCTGTGCAGCTGGCCGGGTGTACAGCAGGTAGCATCATCGGCGGCTGGTCCATGCTGGCAGTCAGTGGTCTCGGTTGCAGGTTTAATTAGGCCGCGTACTTCTCTGAATGCATGCAAATGAAAATTTATGTGAGCTGTTGGTACACGTGAGTTGATTGTAGCTTAGCATGGCTTCGCCCTGTCCTCCCCCAACGAATAGATGAAATTCTTGTCCACGCCGAAGTCCAGGACAGGCCCCCTTGCTGCTTCTGAAAGCACTGGGAGCAGGGCAATGCCGTGATCCGTTAAGGTCCCGGCTTATGCAGCCGGGCGGTGGCCTTTAGCATGCACGACCTGCTGCAGAAAGTCTGAAGCTGGTGTAGAGCCACACACACTCTTCAACTAGCCGTAAACCATTGTATACTGCAGTTCCAGCCAGTGACTTCGTCTAGTTCTGACGCAGGTCTTGCACGAACGAGTCCTAGCAAGCTCGCACTTCAGGCAGGCCTGTTTTTCTGGAAGACTTTGCACCTCGGAGAAGCGAAGACACCCGGCTCGGTTGTCGCTCCCGAACATCGAAAATCTCGGCCTACCGACACTAAGCCCCCAGTTCAGGACCAAGCGTGCCGCATGCATTCTTATGCATGGCAACAGTCACGACAGCGTCATGTGACAGAACTGATGCTTCTGGGCTGCGCACTCCCCGGCGGCGTCGCAGGAGACAAGGTACAGTGAGTTCGTCTGCAAGGCTGCAGCGGTTGATTTGCGATGTTGTACTACCGCTTGCTCTACACATCAAGGTCGGATGGCATGGCACGGGCAATGGCATTAGGAAGCTTCGACACAGCGAAGTCACGAGCTGGGTTGTCCAGAAATAAAGTTGCCAGCATAGTACTGAGGCAAAGACCTCTAAGTACGTCACGGGTGCGGCCTTAAGCAGCTTGCAGTGATGAGCCGGATCAGGTGAATCTCTAATTTCCCACAATAACCAATGGTCTAACCAGAAGACTGGAAGAATCAGAAGAAGTCAACTCTATGCCGCTGCTCTTGAAGCCAGTGAATGGTTCTGGTGCTAAGCTTGTTGTCGACTAACCACCGCAGAGACAAATGACCAGGAATGTGGGTCCGTGCAGTCTCGTAAGGACAGGGCGCTCTTGATGCAACATGGTTACTAAGTGTTGTGCAGTGAGGTGACAGCTTCTCCTCTCGGGCACAGGCGTGGTCGTCCAGAGACAGGACGGAGTCCTCCGGAGCGCCATGACGTATGTGCACAGTCACATGCGCAGGTGAGTTTGCAACGCCAGGACTCTCAAAGCTACCGCTAACAGTAGCTAACATGACTGGTCAGGAATTGGCTTGATGCTACGTGACGCTGGAACTATCGGGTGGTCGTCGTACCAGGGCCAGCGGACTGGTGTTCAGGCCAAACGAACTTTCTGGACATTGCACTCGGGATTGCACTTTGTGAAAGTTCTGACTGCAAACTCAACCGATGGATGCTTGACCAATGGATGCTTGATTGATTACATTGCTGACCACAAGTGCAACTCTTTTCGAAGCATGCGCACGTAGATGTGGGGCCCGATCGAATGAGATTGTATGTCAGCAGGCAGTTTGTCATTGTCTGAGGCCGTCCTCGAGTCTCAAGGCACGTGGCAGATCGATCCTGCAGCACCAAAGTTGTTTCCCTAGGATACAGCTGCCAGCCAGAAGCCCCTTTGGCTTGTCTCCGGGGACTATAATTGTAACGTGCCAGAGTGGCGCGACAGTCGGTGCATGCTGAAGTGCTTCTGAGGACCAGGCACAGGGAAGGGTGTAGATCGATCCCCACGTGCATCTGGACAGCAAGAACTGAAATTGCTGATGTTCATGGATCCTTCCGCTTTGCTGGCCAGCCTGCTCTTAACTATCGTTTTGCAAACTGATGAATACAAGGTTAAACAGAATCGGTTGGTTGATGTGTCCCAACCTATGAAGGATAGATTCGACATAGAAAACGAGTGGGACACAAAACCGTCTGCTATCAAACCACCGCTTGCAGGGCAAGTGCTTGAGCGGAGGAAATGCAGGTGGCACTGGGAAGAGTTTTGTAAAAAAGTACTTTGGCTCTAATGTGCTGTTCGTCGCGCCGACAGGCTGCCTATCGCCAAGAATGTTCAACAGATTTTCTCCACTCCTCTTGCAATGTAATCGAGTGTGATGCAACTTATATCCATGTACACACTGAACAAGATCTGGCTGTTTTGTTTAGATGACACCGACGAGATTAGAATAGCGACTGGCGAAACTAATTACTTCCCTGCCACCGGTAGAGGAAATATCCAACTGTATGCCAATCAGAGTTTAGATGCGATGTTTAGGCATTTACGGGTCAAGGGAGCGGAGAACAGGAAAATAGTTCATGATATGTATGCCCGGCTAGTAAGATGCCGTTAGAAGAGTTGATGAAGAAATACGTTGATATGACCGCTGATGTGATGACATCCGGTTACAACGCGGCGTATACCAGTACCGGGTGTACGGGTGCATCAAAGAAGACGTCAGGTAAAACTGACGTAGCGGTTCTGGTATGCAGGCTGTTTAAGACGTGGGAAACACAGATTTGCTATGAGTTCATTGGTATCTCGTTAGAAGAATACAGCCTAGTTCTGCTTCTGTCATCTTGTGGCTGCTACTTGCATGGGCAAGTCAGCAAACGACCCCGACGGCAACAGTCTTACAGTTATTGTCCTTACTGTGTTCCTATTTCCCTTTACTGCTGTTGTTCTTATTGGTTAGTATAGCTACACTGCTAGCCTGTTCTTGCTGTATCGCTCTCGTGTCTTCAAGTGGGATGCAGTGCTGTTATACTCTCAGCACCTGGCCAGCTTCGCAACTCCTTCGAACACAGCGCACACAGGCAAGCGTGGCTCCATGAAAGTCCTGACATGGCAGCACTCTGAGCTAGCTGCCAAATTCTGATGAAGTGCTTCCGTCCTGCTAGCCATCGATGAGAATTGATACCAGGTGATGTGGACATCTCGATTCTGTGTTTCTCCCGCGTGTGTCAACCTTGGTCTGCAATACTGCTTGGCCTGCAGCGGCATTCTCAGGACCGAAAGCGACGACCAACCTGCAGGCGGTGAATCGCAGAATGAATCCCGGTATCCGAAGAGGAGGCACTACGCAGCCAGAACACATGGGCCCGAGACTTGAGGATCCATGCTGTCCTTTAAGGATGGTTGAATGCAAGCTGCCAGCATTCCGAGAGCTTCAACAAAAAAAGAACTTGAGATGTGGCCACGAAAGCTGGAGAGGGATCCAGAGGGGATGAGGGAGTCGTCAGCTAAGTTCTGTAGCCTGTCCTTGTTGCTTCGCGAGCGGCAGCGCATCTCAACGAAAGCAAGATAAACTGCTGTCGCACACGGGCTGGCATCCCTATTCTCACATGAGGGATGCAAAGGATCTGCACGTTTGCTCAACACATTGGTTTCAGGCGGGTTGGGGTAAAGGCGGGGTAACCTCACCGGCGCAATGAGCGCGCGACCATTTCGGAGAATCGTCGTCCTTGAAGTTAATGGCAGTGACCGCGAGCTGTTCCTGAAGAAATGAAGACTGGCGAGAGCACAGCCCGATGGATTACCAGTGTGCCAGCCATGTCTCTGAGCTGGGAAGGAGGATTCGCAATTACAGGCGGACAAAAACGGAAAATTCGCTGCCCCACACCACCAACTCGAAGTAGGTGCTCCGGCCACAGACCTAGTTGCGGGTGGCCTTAGGCTCCAACCCGTTGCGAATTTGAAAAGACCACATGCGTATTGTTGCACTTTCCCGCCCTCATCCTCCGTCGCCATAGCGCTCCTCGAACCCGAAGAAAAATACATATTTGACTGGAACCCTCCACCTAAAAGAGCCTGAAAGCACAGCAATTCTGCAAACGAGAGCGCCACCTTAAATTCCAGGGTGAGCTCGTGGATTAGTGGCGGCGCAGACATCATGGCTCCGGGCCTCGGGCCAAGACTCGCACCGTCGCACGAAACGCTGCTCCGATAAGAATGGACCCTGGACTTCACATGAGTATTTGTGATATGAATTTTAATTACTAGTACTAATATTGTTACTACGTACTTTCATTGACGGCTTCGTTACTGGGTACAGTAGTGACTTGGTAGTTGATTGAACATCCTTCCTCATTGACACAAGCCCAGTCGCCCTTTTTCGGCAAGCAAGATGAGTCGCCGGCTTTGCGGTGCCAGAGTGCAGCATCCCATAAACATGGACCTAAGCGACTAAGTCAGTCGCCATGTAGCAGCACTACAAGCGCAGCGGCTTGTCCAATAATTGTAGCTGCGACCCTCCTAGAAAAGCAGGAGCAACATGGAGCATGTGCAGGGAATATGTTAGATGTATAGCAAGTACAGAAAGGTACAATTAGCAGCCTGCTAGCTGCAAGCCATCGTCCAAGTTAGATCAGCAAAGGCGAATGATTTTGCCATGCAAACCTGAAGCTCACCGACACCGCCATGACACCACGCATCACCAAACACATAAAGAACAAGTTGTGGTGGTGGTGGTGGTGATGGTGGCGGTGGTGGTGGTGGTGGCGGCGCTGACGGTTTCTTCTTGTCGTCGTGGTGGCAAAAGCAACTGGCAGTGGCAGTAGAAGTTGCGGCAGAAGCGGGGGCGGCGGCACAAGTAGCAGCAGCAGTAGCAGCAACAGCAGTAGCAGGAGGAGGAGCAACAGGAGCAGGAACAGGATCAGAAGCAGCAGCAGCAGCAGTAACAGTTGGAGCAAAAGCAGCAGCAGCAGCAGCATCAGCATCAGCATCAGCAACAGGAGTAGTAGTAGTGTCGTGGTAGTAGCAGTAGTCGTCGTCGTCGTGGTGATAGCAGAAGTAGCAGCAGGTGCTGCAGCAGAAGCAGTAGGAGGAAGCAGTGGCAGTAGTCATTTTGGCAGTCAGTGTGGTGGTGGTACATAGTGGTAGTGGAGCGTGGCCGCAGTAGTGACTGGCATTGGCAGTAGCGGTTGCGTTGTCGTCATCCTCGTCATCGTCCCTGTCATGGTGCTGCTGACAGTAGGCACAGTACAGGTAGTACCACATCCAAAACTATGGTAACATACCTGCAGGAGAGTACTTGCATCACAAGCTCCAACAGCCGTGATAATAATATCCTTCACCGCAATATCCACAACCACACATAAACTGGCATTCCCAGCACAGTCCACGCACGCGAACAGAGGCTGTGCAAAGAGACCAGTTGAGAAACTTCTGCTATTCGGCACAGGTGTGATGCGTGTTCCACGACTGCTGCGAAGACACCTGACGCGAGCTCGCCACGGCCAAACGCCGTGTGCCAGTTGCCCAGGGTGGTGACTGGGCACATGTTGCAGCTGACCTACTATTAGCCAGTCTATTAGCCTACCAGTAGAGCTCGTGGGCTGATGACACTGCGAAAGACAAGTGTACAGCTGCACTCGGCTTGGCACAAACGCAATAAATCGCGGCTCAGCCAGTGTAATCTCGGCCTGGGCATTGCACTTCCACCACGCGTGTTCAACGAAATTCCTTCCGACCTCCGCTTGGCTGAACTCGGGCGCATCCGGAGAGAGCCCATGGCTTTGGCCATCCTGTCCCCACATGGCGAAAGAGGAGGAATTCGTGCCTTCAACCCGCAGGCAAACTGCACCGCAAGTCTCCATGGAGCCCTGACCTAGCTTGCATGCCTTCTCGCGGATACTGCAGCACATGCTGCGGCTGATCGGAGCACCCATCTCCTGACATGAACAAGCTCGCGTGGTTGAGAGAAGTGCGACTTTCCAACCCAAGAGCTCACTTCAATCCGGTGCTGTGCCTCGACCTGTTCAAGATCAAGCACAATCTAGACCTAGACCTTCCATTCCAACAACTCGCAGTCCTCCACGCCGGCAGAGACCGATGCTTTGGAAAAGCAGCGCTGCAACGATTGCCCGGCAAAGCTGCACAGCCCAAACGAACTTTCCCTGCACTCGTCTTGTGTATGTAGGTAGCCCGTCGTCACGCTGCTCACCTTATCCAGTCGTTCGGCTATGCGGTAGTACTGCTAGTTGACCACATCATAAAAAAAAAATCAGGCCCTGCATCCCCACAGGCACGTTCATCTTGACCTATGTACTTGCAACCCCGCTGCAAGGAACTGCAAGTTTACGGCATCACAGCACCGTTAAGCCACATGGCAGACCGACCGGAACCGTAGTCTTCAATCTGCGGTGCAATTATTCATAGCATCGTCCGCCGAACACTTCAACAAATCGACTCATCTACACATGATACCGTTCTGCCGTGTTTTCAGCCGAAATGAACCACATGCTTTCATGACGTCGCATGCACTGTTTTAGAACGCGGTGTAAGCATGTAAGCACCTGCCTTGCCCTGCGTTGGCTTCCCTCGACGTCTTAGAAATCTGCAAGCAGACTGTTTGCTCTTCTGCAAAAGCTGTGTGCACTGCCGCCGATGCATCAAATTAGGCAAGGGATGGCAAGGGTGAAAGCAGTAAACAGCCAAGAGTCGATGCTTGGCAAACTTGCAGAACCCTCGCTGGGGAATCCTGGAAGCCTCTCCGGCATCAACCCCTTCGCGGAGCGGCTGCGAAAGCTGTCTTCGCTGGCCTACAAAAAGAGGTTAGCATTTTACACCGGGATGGCAGATTCGAAACTACACTATTGTAGCCGTCACGCCTGTGTTCCTGCTTGACCGGTGCCAGATCTCACTGCCGGCATGATCCCGGGCGAAAATGGTGCAACCTCCATATGCAGGGTAGGGTGCTTGTGACCCGGTGACAGGGACGGAGGCCCTCAGTCGCTGTTGGTCCTGTTCGCATTGGTGTCGTCGTCCGAAGAATCCGCCTGGCGCGTCTGCCCTCTGTGAGTCCACGGTGCGTCTTTGTTTGCTGCTGCTGCCGTTCATCATGCCAGGACCTCCTCCTCCTCTTCCTCCTCCTTCTTTTCCTAGTAGCAGAGGCTGTAGCTGTAGCGGCAACAGTAGCCAAAGCAGTAGAGTAGAACTAGATGCAGCAGCAGGAGGAGGAGTAAATGTAGCAGCAGGAGCAGGAGTAGAAGTAGGAGGAGTAGGAGTAGGAGTAGGAGTAGGAGTAGGAGTAGGAGCAGGAGCAGGAGGAGGAGTAGGAGTAGGAGTAGGAGTAGGAGTAGGAGTAGGAGGAGGAGCAGGAGTAGGAGTAGGAGTAGGAGTAGGAGTAGGAGTAGGAGTAGGAGGAGGAGCAGGAGGAGGAGTAGGAGTAGGAGTAGGAGTAGGAGTAGGAGTAGGAGCAGGAGGAGGAGTAGGAGTAGGAGTAGGAGTAGGAGTAGGAGTAGGAGTAGGAGTAGGAGCAGGAGGAGGAGCAGGAGGAGGAGTAGGAGTAGGAGTAGGAGTAGGAGTA